CGACGATACATATTTCATCGTAAGCCCCCGCGGTGAAGTGTGTATCGAATCGGTTTAAGGGCTAATTTCCGATAAGGGTTCAATAGGTACTTCTGTTTCGGCTACTGTCAAAATTGTTTATTAATTAAATTGTAGTAGGCGTGTTATATTGGTTAATCCTTAGCCCGAAGTGCTTGGTGTCAATATAGCATATAAAATGTGACGATACATATTTCATCATAAGCCCCTGCGGTGAAGGTGTATCGTATAGGAAAGTTTAAGGACATATGTTTCTTTATAGGTAGTAGTATGTCTTTTTCTCATATTATTAAAGTAATAAAAATCTAAAATGTTAGAATGTGCTAACTCAACAAAGAACTAAAAATCGCTCACATCATTGGCTTTTTCTTTTTCCAAATTAGCGGCTCCCAAAAATATTTATTTTTGTTATTTTTGTGTTTAACTTTTGGACTTTCTTTTTTTTATTTTTTTTTTTTTACCATTCATTTATTAAAGCCGCAAGTCAAATCAAAGACTTTAAAAAATGGTACTTCGAAAGATCTGGTTTGCGCTAACCCAGTTTTAATTAGCGTGGGGCGTTTGTCTTCCTGCGGACAGCGTTCCAGTGTACTAGCACTATAAAGTCCTCAATATAAGTAGGCTAGCAAAAAGCAGTCAAAATTATACATACATCCTTTGGTTTTTTATTTATTTTATTTTCTTTTATTTATTTATCTTTTTTTTTTGTACATACAAAACCTTTTACTAATTATTTTTTCAAAATTCACATACACATATTTAGGCCTATTTCGATTCATACAAAATATTTGGCAACTTAATTCACATACACAATTTGGCAAAAAAAAATTTATCTGCTGTTCACTTGGCTGCTGGTGTACCAGGACAACGTTGCTGCCGGTCACTGCCGTTTGCTTTGCCTAGCTTTCCTCCTATTCCTACTTTTGGTGGCTCCGTTTTTTGTTGTTTTTTTTTTTATTTTATTTAAGTTCAATTTCATTCATTTACTCATCAAATTATTTATTTTTTAATTATTCTAAACTTCAAATTTTTTCTATATTTATCACTCAAATTATTCAATTACCCTATGGTAAAAACAAATTATTTAAATGCCCAAAAAGGCGCAAGCCAGGGCCGACCGTGCGAGGGCTGTATAGCCAGTCAAGGTCGTTCAAAACTCCCATCATCATCAACTCATTGATTATCGAGTATTTTTTATTTATATAAAATTAGTCCATCACAACCTATTCAATGGTCAAAGATGGTATTTTAAATTAAAAAACCAAAAAATGAAAGCAGTCATTCAGTAGGCATTCCAATTAGTGAATGTGATTAATAGTAACTCTGCTTCAAAATCTGCTGTATTATAACAAGAGTGCACACGCTGAAATGTCTCGCCTACTTTACTGACCATTGATTTAATGTTGATAGTCCTACATATAAAGTTTTACTACAAGTATCACATTAACATTTATGATCCAAGAAAATGAGGTCAAGGTCAGATTAACAAAGCCAGAAATACATGTACACCTTTGATACAATCATTCCATACACAGAATATAGATGACCTATTGCTTATAGTATAAAAGAAACAGACCAAACCATGGAAATTCTATACTGACCAATGAACCATGAAAATAAAGTCAAGGTCAGATGAACCCTGCCAGACATACATGTACACCTTAAAGGGGCACTAGCTGTCAAATTCATGTTCACCGATTTGACCCAAATTCTCATATTTGATTTATAACAATGTAAAACATTTATCCAAACAATTAAAAGTCTAAAATAAACAGTTAACACGACATGGGCATGATAACATGTAGATTCGTTTCGTGTGTATTTTAGTCTAGACGCCATCTAATTAACTATCGAGTTGACCTCCAAAGTCATCCGATGACCATATAAGCGATGTAAACATAAATAAAGATATAAATAGATTAAGCGAACTCTTGCTATTGAATTCTTCTAGGTCTGTTTAATTCCATATTATAGATTAAAAATATATGTTTATCATCGTTTTTACCTGTATAAGAATGATTTTTTGTGGATTGGATAAGTCAATCAAATGATTTACCTTTGTTTCACTTTCAATGTTGACATTCTTTTCCTTTAAATAACTTTACACATACAATTCATGTGTTATCCATCTCTAGCTAAAGGGTTAAATTGAAGTTCACATGAATACGGATTCAATGAGGTTGAATTATTCACTTGCAAGTGAATAATTCATCATCAATGTTTCTTAGCTTATTTTGACAAAATTGAACCATACTGGCGGCTAAAAGGGAATAATTATTTCACTATTTCACTTTCATTAATGATTGAACAAAAAAAATCATATATTAGATTTTTTATATTTCTCATAGCTAGTGCCCCTTTAAAATCATTCCATGCATCAAATACAGTTGACCTATTGCTTAAAGTATCTAAGAAACAAAGTTAACCAGGAAAACTGAACATTGACCAATCAACCATGAAAATGAGGTCAAGGTCAGATGATACTTCCAGACAGACATATCCACCTTACAATCATTCCATACAACTATGGTTGACCTATTGCTTAAAGTTTATACAGACCAAATCACAAAAACTTAACACTAACCCTGAAAATGAGGTCAAGGTCAAATAAAACCTACAAGACTGACATGTACATCATAAAATATTTCCATACACCAAATATAGTTGACCTATTGCATATAGTATTAGAAAAAAAAAGACCAAAACTTAAAAACTTCAACTTTGACCACTGAACCATGAAAATGAGGTCAAGGTCAGTTGACACCTGCCATTTGGATATATACACCTTACAAGCCTTCCATAAACCAAGACCCATTGCTTATAGTATCTGATATATGGACTTGACCACCAAAACTTAACCTTGTTGACTGATCCATGAAATTAGGTCGAGGTCAAATGAAAACTGTCTGGTGGGCATGAGGACCTTGCAAGGTACACACATAAATATAGTTATCCTATTAATCATAAAAAGAAAGAAATTAACATTACAAAAAATCTTTTTTTTTCAAGTGGTCACTGAACCATGAAAATGAGGTCATGGACAATGGACATATGACAGACAGAAACTTCGTAACATAAGGCATCTATATATATATATACAAAGTATGAAGTATCCATTTCTTCCAACTTCTAAAATATAAAGCTTTTAAGAAGTGAACTAAAGCCGCCGCCAGATCACTATCCCTATGTCGAGCTTTCTGCAACAGAAGTCGCAGGCTCGACAAAAATATAGTATACATTTCTGGGTAAACGATAGAGAAAAAGAAACTTTTACAGATGGAACATTTAAATTTTGACAGAAACTTTTCAATTAGCTTTCTTATAAGTGGATTCAAATTTGTAACTTATTCCTCTTGTGGTAATTCTGTTGCATGAATAGTCCGAGGAACTGTATCATCATAATTAATCTAAGATTGTTTCAATTTGTGAAGCCTGAACTTTTATTTTTAAACACCGGTCGGTACCTGCTGTACCTGTGGACTTAAAGAAAGACTCATGGTTGTTACAAGGAATTTACTCCTATCCACCCTCTTTGATTGTTGTCGTTTTCATCTGACACAAGCATGATGGTGAAAAGTTTAGGCTTTTAGCTGTATATAAATGTATAAATATATGAATATTTTATGTTGTTGTTTGAATGATTTTTTTTTTTTATGTTGATAAAGCTCAAATGTCCTTTTGAAAACACTCAAATGTCCTATTTTAAAAGCACAAATGTTCAAAAAATTCAAGCACATTTAAAATGTTCTAAAAATTCAAACACAAATGTGTGATAAAAACAGGCACAAATTTCCTATCAAAAAGCGCCAATGTTCCGGATCAGACTTAATAATCAGAAAAACAATATTTCTTTTGTCAATTGATGATTTTGCAACTAGTTGAAGCGTGTAATTATTTTAATAGGAACAAAAAACATTAATGCTTCATCTTTTTTTCACTTTTTTTTTATTTCAACACTTTTCCTTAAAAGTTATTAAAATAACTAAAAACATGGCTAACAGGGTTGTCTTTAGGGCCCAGAGGCCGGTTATTTCCCCCGGCAACTTCTGCTTGTGGACCCAGCTACTCTAGTGGCATGTGTGACCTGACTTTTAAAAAAAAAAAACCCAACAGAGATCAATATTTCTCTGTTACTGAGTTTTTGTTCCGTGATTTTATTGTGAACAAGAGATACATCGAGTTATCAGAGTGTTTGGGTCATTTTTACAGGTTAAAGCTTTTCAACGACGCTTCGAGTTTTTAAAGCGCTCAGATGATTTTGTCACTTCCAAATTTGACCGATATTTTCCAATATGCAGCGACGGTTGGATTTCTTTGGATTTAATAAGTAACTTATTTGTTTATTGGGCGTTTTAAGCATTTTATTTCAGAAATGAGGATGGTCAACGATTATTTTAACATACATTGAACAGGCTGTAGAAGTTTTCAATCAAATGTATCACACATAGAAAATCTAAAATTCCAAAACCTAAACTTTTAAAAAAAAAAAAAAAATTTTTTTTCTTGTTTTGTATTTTTAAACTTGGAGAGTATCATGATTTGTCTAAAGGTTTCTGTTTTGTTTATTAACTTTTTTAACATTTTATCACTATGTCATTGCTATTCTCAAACATCTTCAAATATTAGCTGTAAGTTGAAAGTCTGGATATTTAAATAAATGTGATCAAATTTACAGAAAATTTGACCCATGCTACAAATTTTAATCAAAAATTTACATTATCTTCTTTAAAAAATGATGTTTTGACAAGATTAAATGATGGCAAAAATTGACAATATCCAATCAATTCTAAAGACAGATTGAAACGGTCAATTTTAATAAAACTTTGCCAGAACATATATTGGGCCATACCTATTCAATGGTGTAAATTTAAAAAAAAATGATGGGAAAGTTTTAGGGTTACAGATGCCTACCCCCTTAAGATAGTTAAATAAATGATTTCACTGACCCGTCACAAGCCTTTGTGATTTTCTCCAACACTTACTTTTGATTTGTAGCCTCATTCTTCTTTAGCTTGTTTTTTAATTCTTCAGAAATTTCCTTCATTTCCTAAAAAAAATGCAATATAATCCTAATAATGTGTGGTTCAGATTGGACATGCACATTTATATATTTCATTTGTTCCATTTTCATGCATAGAGTATTCAGGCTTGTAAAGTCAGCACTGAAACTTTGTCCCCACCCCCCTTTTTGCCACAAGAATTCAGGAAAAAACTTGTTGTATATGCTTGAAAACTCCAGTAATTTCAAATCATGTGTGATCGTTTGGGATATTTTCATGAAAAAACCTGTTTCAATCATACAGTAGAAGTTGAATATGCTTATAAATGATTCCAAAACACTCCACGAGTACATAAAATAAGTTTAAATCATGAATTAGGGATATTTGTTTTTCATAATAACTGGAAGTTCGTATAGAACGTGTAAATTGAAAATAATTACGGTGAGAGTGTGTGGAAATTTGTACTTCATAGTTATTACTAGAATACCACTTTGAAACTAAAACAGTTCTATTCTGTAATTAATTACTTTTAAATATATCCAATACATTAATGTTTGAATGATCTTCAGCTCAAACAAAATACAAGCCTCAGTATGAAACACCAACTTGGAATGAATAACCGAATACGTTTTGTAGTTTATACATTGTAAAGCATAAGCTGGTTCTTTGCTAATTTCTATATTTTTTATCATTCTGGTAAATACAAGGGGATTCCAGTTCATGTTATGTAATGCTATGGGAATAACAAGAGTGCACACGCTGAAATGTCTCGCCTACTAAACTGAGCATTGATTTTATGTTGATAGTCCTACATATAAAGTTTTATTGCAAGCATCACATTAACATTTATGATCCAAGAAAATGAGGTCAAGGTCAGATAAACCAAGCCGGAAATACATGTACACCTTTAATACAGTCATTCCATACACAGAATATAGATGACCTATTGCTTAGAGTATAAAAAAAACAGACCAAACCATGGAAATTCCATACTGACCAATGAACCATGAAAATGAAGTCAAGGTCAGATGAACCCTGCCAGACAAACATGTACACCTTAAAATCATTCCATGCATCAAATATAGTTGACCTATTGCTTCGGTATCTAAGAAAAAAGTTAACCAGAAAAACTGAACATTGACCAATCAACCATGAAAATGAGGTGAAGGTCAGATGATATCTACCAGACAGACATATACACCTTACAATCATTCCATACACCATATAGTTGACCTATTGCTTAAAGTTTAAGAAAAACAGACAAAAACACAAAAACTTAACATAAGCAATCAACCATGAAAATGAGGTCAAGGTCAAATAAAACCTGCCAGACTGACATGTACATCGTAAAATATTTCCGAACACCAAAAATAGTTGACTTTTTGCATACAGCATTAGAAAAACAGACCAAAACACAAAAACTTACCATTGAGCAATGAACCATGAAAATGAGGTCAAGGTCAAATAAAACCTGCAAGACTGACATGTACATCGTAAAATATTTCCATACACCAAATATAGTTGACCTATTGCATACAGTTTTAGAAAAACAGACCAAAACACAAAAACTAAACTATGACCACTGAACCATGAAAATGAAGTCAAGGTCAGATGACACCTGCCAGTTGGACATGTACACCTTACAATCATTCTACACACCAAATAAAGTAGACCTATTGCTTATAGTATCTGAGATATGGACTCGACCATAAAAACTTAACCTTGTTCACTGATCCATGAAATGAGGTCAAGGACCTTGCAAGGTACGCACATACCAAATATAGTTATCCTTTTATTCATAATAAGAGAGAAATTAACATTACAAAAAATCTTATCTTTTTTTTCAAGTAGTCACTGAACCATGAAAATGAGGTCAAGGACAATGGACATATGACAGACAGAAACTTCATATCATAAGGCATCTATATACAAAGTATGAAGCATCCAGGTCTTCTACCTTCTGAAATATTAAGCTTTTAAGAAGTTACTTAACGCCGCCGCTGCCAGATCACTATCCCTATGTCGAGCTTTCTGCGACAAAAGTCGCAGGCTCGACCAAAACCTTGGAAAATCAAGTTTTTCTCTTATTTCTTGCTTATATTATCGTACTATATAATCTGCACCCCTGCCTTGTAATATTAATTTTGAAGGAAAAAAAAAGCGGACTATACAAGCCTGAATACAGAAACTGCAACCTCATATAACAAGTTGATGAGAATTTTATAAACAGATTCAGTTTTAGTTACAATTGCCCATTTTTATGAAGAGTTTATCCCTCCCGAAAGGTTCACTTTGTTTTACATGACATATAAAAGAAACTTCTCATATATTTTAGAGGTCCCTGTACTTTTAAAGTTATGCTATGTTATGTTAGGTTTAGTTTACTTTAGCTCTATATGGGTTGGGGCATCTGAAGTAAAAGAAGGCCAAGATATACATCATCTGCTTCAAAACAGTAAAGTTACCCTGATGGACTGCATGATATATCAAGAAGAGAGTATGTGTATGTGGTTAAAAACACTTGTACTGCTAAAACTGGTCTAAAATCAAAGACTAAGTTCTTTTTCTATGAACTTACACACAAAATTCACAATATATTTATCTTGAAGTATTGTAAAGCAAAACAATTTGCATGGAAAGGTTCATGTACCAATATACAAAATATCACTGACTACTTGTACGGGTTTAATGAAATTTGACTTTCCCAGACACGTCACATGGTTTTCCTCAAAATAATAATAATAACAAAAATAATAAACATTTCAATATTTGCTGAAAGCTTAAAGCATCCAATGTGTGAATAAGTTGAACTTATTTTAACTTTTAAACTGGATCTGACAAAAATAAAGCAGATAACAAAACAACAATTAAGTGACAACAAACAGACTGACAGACCGATCAAAAACATTCTGGCTTCATTGATAGGGGTTACATACTGACTAATACAATACCTTTTCCCTCCTGTGCTGTTCTGCTAGTTGCTGTTTTTTACTGATCGTCTTTGGCTTTTCTGACTTGATTTTAAGCCTTTTCCTGGCTTTCTATAAAAGCAAAAATTAAAATTCAGTATGCAAAATTACATATATACTTTAAAAGGTGAAGTAATTTCTGTTTATATGTTTATAGAATCAAGATCCAATCAAATACCAGTAAAAGGAACCCCAGAACTTACTTCTCTATTTTCATAATAACAATTATTGCCTTAATCAAAAGTCTATAATCAAAGACAATTATAGTGAATATATTTATCAAACTAGGATCTTTTACTAAATTACTGCAAAGTCAGCTAGAGAGGGCTAAAGGCAAGAAAAGGTATCCCCAAAATTATAAATAAGGTGCTTTACACTCTTTCTTATAAATTGAAGTGATTCATTTTAATGTGTTGGAATCAAGATCCAATAAAATAAAGGAAATCGAACCTCTGGACATGTTTTGATTTTTTTAAGGTCCAAATTCTCTACATGCATAATTTTCCTACCGAGGTCGGTGGTTCTCTCTGGGCACTTCTGCTTCCTCAACCAATAAAAACTTACTACCATGAAATACAACAATAGTGCTGATAGTGTTGTTAAATATCAAGCAATCAATCTACAATCTCCAGTATGTTCTATTTTGACCAAGCCCGACATACATACCTGTCAACCTATGACAATGAAAATGCATGTGATGACCTGCATAGAAGAATGAAATCTCAGGTCATAATGCGTACGTACTTTTTCGAGCTGAATTTTAGTATTTAGGGGACGTTTTTCTTATAATTTATATCAAAGTTTCAAAAACATGTCCACATGGTTAAGAAATTTAAAATTGTACATTTTATTATTTCATTGCAATTGGAGGCCATTGATAGATTTGTGTAACATTGCCTTTATTCCTGTTCATAGTCAGTCCATGACATACAATGTGCCAATTTGTGTTTTCTTTGCATACATTTGTGCAACTTTTAAACAGTATAATATAAATGTGGTTGATATTACAGTATAATAAAATAAAGTTAAACAATTAAAGGAGGTATAGATGAAAAAAGTAATTTTTAAAATTTTTATTTTTTAATTGTTCTAAGGTAGAACAATAAGTAAAAGTATTATTCTGATATGTTTTTACATTCAATTCATTTTAGATTTAATCTTTTTACAAAAAAAACATAAGTTTAAGGACTATATTGTGAATTGACAAAAAAGGGGAAGTAACTCAAATTGTTTTTAAAACAACTTTGAAATACACAAATTATTTACGACCTAAAGCTAAGGTAATTGGTTTTCATTAACAGAGTGTTTGACACCAAAGCTGTCAAGTGAAGCCATGCACTGAAATGGGTCACTTGAGCTGAGTTTACACAGTTAGTTGAACTTCTTGTCCAGGGAGAATTACGAATTTGCCGGTATTTTAAAGAAATCAGTTTATATCTAATCAGTCTGAAGGCTTAGGAATCCGGGTAAAAACGGGTTATTTTCCGAATTCCCGGGTTATTTGGTCACCCTGCGGGTGTTCCGGGTGACCCCTCAGAATTGTGAAAATCTCGGGTCACACCCGCAGGATCCTGGTCAGTTGACAGGTATGGGGCCCGATTAGGTGGTGTTTCATCTTACAAGGTCTATCCAAATTATTTTAGGAAAGAATTCTGCTTAAGCCAGTGCTAGGGCGGTCTTAAACTTGCAGTGAGGTGAAAGTTTTTTTACTCCGTGTTGAAGGCCTCACTGTAACTTTGAGATGAAGAACAGCAATAAAAGCGCTGTTCCTTTGCTTTTTGTATGTTTTATTTGCTGTGCATGTACTGATTTTGTGTCATGGATGGATCCTTTGTTTTTCTATTACATGCATTATACTATTTACTTACCCTTGTTCTTTGATTTGGCTTTTTCTTTGGATCTCTGTCCTTTAACCACTCATCGTAGGAATGAAACTTTTTCAGCTGTTTAAAATACAAAGTGGATGACAAATTGACAACTGCACAATAATGAAAGGTATTACTGAGGATTTATTTCTTTCTTGCTGATACCAATTTGTCTGGATGTAGGAAAAATTGTATTTTCATGGATATTTGATTTCCTGGTTTTGCCAAAGTCTACAAATACGCATATAGAAAATTTGTACTTTGTTGAACCATTCATTGTTTACCTTTACCCATGGAATCTATGAAATTGGTATCCCTATAATAATAACGAATCCACAGTAATTAAAATCATCCTACTAAAATTTACACTGTCAAGATCTGTAATTTTTTCACTGAATTTGTAGACTATCAATGCTGTGACAATTTTCCAACATAATTTGCAAGTTTACAATTTGATTTACAAAATATACTTCAAGCTATATTCTCACAGTATTTAATTGTGTTTGACCGACAAAGTGGGTAACATTTTACATGAAAACATACCCTATGTATTATTTCATTCTATTAAACTGTAGCTCTTTTTCGATAATCATTTACAGATTCTAAAACTAAATATAAAATTATATTTTGAATGATTCAATGTAAATTCCTTTGTAAGGAGTAGCACTAAATTGGTGCAAAGTCAATAATAAGCACTTTTAGAAGAAGTGACTATGATAATATTTTCCTTATAATGTATGAAGTTGGTATAAAAATTACTAAAAAGTTTGGTGAGTAGTTAAATCTAGCTTGAGTCTGCACAACAAATGATATAATTCTGAATCAATATTTTTTCTTTTCAAATCGCCATATTTCTAAAATATATTACATGTAATATTGACAAAGAGGAACTTATTCTATTTATGAGATAACTATTTTTAAATTGCTCTTGCTTAAAAAAAACCAACATATTATAATGTCTATTTGACAATTAAGTTGCAAAAAACATTGAGCACAAAGTGCACATTACCCCCACCCCAATGAGAAAGAATCCTGGAAATGTTTTTTTCACAAATAATAAAATAATAAAAAAGTCTTTAAAAAATATTTCTGACCATTAAGTGGCTTAAATTGCTGAAAAATTAATGGATTATATGGCTAACTCTAAAACTGACCTTGTCCAGCTTAAACTTGATTTCATTTCAATATTTCTGAGATATTAGAATAACTTATATTCAAAATTATATTTCAACTTATCGTATCAGGAAATTTGTGTGGGTCAAATTTTTTGCAAAATATATATTTATATGCATTATATAAAGCTTTGAAATGAGAAAAATAAACACAGCAAAAAATTATCTGGCCCTTTTAAGTCCCAAACCACAAACCAAACCCTGACGAGAAAATAACCTGATATATCGTAATAAAATAAAAATATATATATGTTTTCAAATATTTGATTGAATGAGTTTAATTATAGTTCACATTCCATACAAGGTACATAGATAGAACAGGAATTTCCAGAAACTTTCACCAAGTGCTATATATGTATGAAATGATGAGGTGGTGTGAAACAAATGATATTTTTGTCAATGAAAGTTGAAGTATGCTATGAGGGATATTAAAGTACAACATAAATAGTCCACTCACGCAACAAATCTGTGGAACATGTAAGTTCACAAATTTAAAGATGAGAACTGCAAAGCATAAATAGCCAGGGGATGGGACTTCTTGCTTCTTACTGATCAATATTTAAATGTGTCACTCTATTATAAATTATAATAAGACAATATCTCTTAATCTTTTCCAGGACTGATGATTAAGAAACTTCCCTCAAAGAACTCTTCTTCCATGAAGATTAACACAGAAATGATCAAATATGTTTTCCCACAAACACTACAGGACATTATGTTAACCTCTGAAACAAAACTGCAAATTTTTACCAACCATGACAGTAATCATCTATTGAAACTCCTTCGAAAAATTCCCATTTTCAATCTGACCCAAAAAGAAAGAAAACTAAAGGCTCTAAAGAGCCTGTGTCGCTCACCTTGGTATATGTGCATATTAAACAAAGGACACAGATGGATTCATGACAAAATTGTGTTTTGGTGATGGTGATGTGTTTGTAGATCTTACTTTACTGAACATTCTTGCTGCTTACAATTATCTCTATCTATAATGAACTTGGCCCAGTAGTTACAGTGGAAAATATTTTGTAAAATTTACAAAATTTACAAAATTTATGAAAATTGTAAACAAGAGTGCACACGCTGAAATGTCTCCCCTTCTTTACTAACCATTGATATTATGCTGATAGTCCTAAATGAAAGCTTTACTACAACTATTACATAAACTTAACATGATCCAAGAAAATGAAGTCAAGGTCATATAAACCAAACGAGAAATACATGTACACCTTACAATCATTCAATACACTAAATATAGTTGACCTATTGCTTATAGTTTCTAAGAAACAGACTTAACCAAGAAAACTAAACATTGACCAATGAATCGTGAAAATGAGGTCAAGGTCAGATGAACCATGCCAGGCAGACATGAACAGCTTACAATCCTTCCATACAACAAATATAGCTGACCTATTGCTTATAGTTTAAGAAAAACAGACTGAAACACATAAACTTAACACTGAGCAATGAACCGTGAAAATGAGGTCAAGGTCAAATAAAACCTGCAAGACTGACATGTACATCATAGAATATTTCCATACACCAAATATAGTTGACTTATTGCATATAGTATAAGAAAAAAGACCAAAACTCAAAAACTTAACTATAACCACTGAACCATGAAAATGAGGTCAAGGTCAGATGACACCTGCTAGCTAGACATGTACACCTTACAATCATTCCATACACCAAATATAGTAGTCCTATTGCATAAAGTATAAGAAAAATGGACCAAAACACAAAAACTTAACTATAACCACTGAACCATGAAAATGAGGTCAAGGTCAGATGACACCTGCCAGCTAGACATGTACACCTTACAATCATTCCATACACCAAATATAGTAGACCTATTGCATACAGTATAAGAAAAACAGACCAAAACACAAAAACTTAACTATAACCACTGAACCATGAAAATGAGGTCAAGGTCAGATGACACCTGCCAGTTGGACATGTACACCTTACAGTCCTTCCATACACTGAATATACTAGACCTATTGCTTATAGTATCTGAGATATGGACTTGACCACCAAAACTTAACCTTGTTCACTGATCCATGAAATGAGGTCGAGGTCAAGTGAAAACTGTCTGACAGGCATGAGGACCATGCAAGGTACGCACATACCAAATATAGTTATCCTATTACTTATAATAAGAGAGAATTTAACATTACAAAAAATCTGAACTTTTTTTTCAAGTAGTCACTGAACCATGAAAATGAGGTCAAGGACATTGGACATGTGACTGAAGGAAACTTCGTAACATGAGGCATCCATATACAAAGTATGAATATAAAGCTTTTAAGAAGTTAGCTAACGCCGCCGCCGCCGGATCACTATCCCTATGTCGAGCTTTCTGCGACAAAAGTCGCAGGCTCGACAAAAATTGACTATAAAGGGCAATAACTCCTTCAGGGGTCAATTGACAACTTTGGTCATGTTGACTTATTTGTAGATCTTACTTTGCTGTACATTACTGCTGTTTACAGTTTATCTCTATCTATAATAATATTCAAGATAATAACCAAAAGCTGCAAAATTTTCTTAAAATTACCAATTCAGGGGCAGCAACCCAACAACGTGTTGCCTGATTGGTCTGAAAATTTCAGGGCAGATAGATCTTGACCTAATGAACAATTTTATCCTGTCAGATTTGCTGTAAATGCTTTGGTTCCAGAGATATGAGCCAATAACTGCATTTTACCCTATGTACTATTTTTTAGCCATGTCGGCCATATTGGTTCGCGGGCGGGGTCATCGGACACATTTTTTAAACTAGATACCCTAATGATGATTGTGGACAAATTTGGTTAAATTTGTCTTGGTAGTTTCAGAGGAAAAGATTTTTGTAAAAGATTACAAAAATTTATGAAAAATGGTTAAAAATTGACTATAAAGAGCAATAACTCCTTAAGGGGTCAACTGACCATTTTGGTCAAGTTGACTTAATTGTAGATTTAACTTTGCTGAACATTATTGCTGTTTACAGTTTATCTCTATCTATAACTAGAGGCTCTCAAGAGCCTGTGTCACTCACCTGTATTTACTCATGCTTTGGAAATCATGTAAAATAAGGTTAAAATCATAATTAATAGTATTAGATATTAGATATTATAATGATATCTAAGATAATAACAAAAAACTGCAAAATTTTTGTAAAATTACTAACTCAGGGGCAGCAACCCAACAACGGGTTGTCGGATTCGTCTGAAATCTTCAGGGCAGATAAATCTAAATCTGATGAACATTTTTGCCACCTTTCAGATTTGCTCTAAATGCTTTAGTTTCAGAGACATAAACCAAAAACTGCATTTTACCCCTATGTTCTATTTTTAACCAAGTCGGCCATGATGGTTGGAAGGCGGGATCATCGGACAAATTTTTTAAACTAGATATCCTAATAATGATTATGGCCAAGTATGGTTAAATTTGTCTCAGTAGTTTCAGAGAAGAAGATTTTTGTAAAAGATTACAAAAATTTACAAAAAATTGTTAAAAATTGACTATTAAGGGCAATAACTCCTAAAGGGGTCGACTGACAATTTTGGTCATGACAACTTATTTGTAGATCTTACTATGCAGAACATTATTACTGTTTACAGTTTATCTCTATCTATAATAATATTCAAAATAATAACCAAAAACTGCAAAATTTTCTTAAAATTACCAATTTAGTGACAGCAACCCAACAACAGGTTCTCCGATTCATCTGAAAATTTCAGGGCAGATAGATCTTGACCTGATAATCAATTTTACCCCCATGTCAGATTTGCTCTAAATGCTTTGGTTTCAGAGATATAAGCCAAAATCTACATTTTACCCCTATGTTCTATTTTTAGCCATGGTGGCCATCTTGGTTGGTTGACCGGATCACCGGACACATTTTTTAAACTAGATACCCCAATGATGATTGTGACCAAGTTTGCTTAAATTTGACCCAGTAGTTTCAGAGGAGAAGATTTTTGTAAAAGTTAACAGACGACGCCGGACGACAAGTGATGAGAAAAGCTCACTTGGCCCTTCGGGCCAGGTGAGCTAAAAACACTTTCAAAAGGCAACATTTTGAGTTCTCACTGGGAAATTTTCGCACTAGTATTGGAAATATACAGATCATTTGAAGCAAACTTAGTAAGATTTTTGAATACAAATATATTTTTTTTATTTGGTCAGATGAAAAAAGATATGGCAGAGAAAATTATTTATCAGATTTGGTCTCTTCTGAACCTTGTTGGATTTTCATTTGTTATTGAATTACAGTAATTTTGGTGCAGAACGTGATACCAAATATTTGATGATTTAAAAAAACAGGTGAGCAATTAAGATTCCTTAAAGCCTCTTATTTTTCAAGCCCTAAAAAATTGACTTCATCATTGATTTAAAAGAGAACTTTACAAAAAGCAAATGCAAACTACACACAGGTTATACAAAATAAATATTCATAATGGAGAGCAAATAATATAAACCAGCAGAGAATTCTATTTAAACTACCGGGGTACATATACTATATATCTACACTATATATAACAGTCATCCTACCTTAAATATAGGTGATCTTCCTGGCAAACAATAATATATATATATTACCTATCTATTTTACAGCTGATAAGATAATCACAGTATGACAGGTGCTGCATTCAAAGCAGGACATTTTTAACCATCTGGAATACCTGACATGTCTCCGTTTTTACAGCAATTTATATTGTCCAAAGAAATGATGTACATATTTCTGGGACTACCTGATATGTCTCCCGGTTTTTACCTAAGTTTATAAACTTCTATGTAAACCAGGAGACATATCAGGTAATCCCAGAAGTATGTATAGCATTTCTTTGGTTGATATAAACTTTAAAATTCATAATACTATTGTAAAATGTATCAAATCAAATTCCACAATATATTAAAATAATCTATATATAGGAAATATAGATGTCAGTTTTTAAATTTTCTTCCAGGTTAATTAGATTGATTGATTTTTAGTTGCTTAAGGTCCAGTGGCAACAGGTTAATTAGATGTTTTATTTCAAATAATTAAAAATGCTGATAAAATTTTTTATGACTTATATCCAGTTACAAATATTTTATACATATTCAGGACAAGATCAAAATTAAACAATAAATTCATCAGACAGGAACTTTCTGCATAGAAGGTCGACAAAGAGTAGAAAATGTGGGAAAGAACTTTCTGTCCAAGTTTCAGAACATTTCATGAAGGTTAAACCAGAATTATTGATGTCTAAAAAATGAGTCTTTTTATAAAAAAAAAAATTAAAATTGTACAATATTTCAAAACTTTTGCTCTGGATACTATCTTTCAATCATATTTATAGTTGGTGGGATATAAAAAAGTGTTGTCCACCCCCATATATTTTTTTCTGGAATAGCCCTAAATGATATCACCTTTGAAATATGACTTGTAATCGAAATTATTTTTAAATAAATCTAAGCAAATTAGAAGATTATCCATAAACTGCATTAGTGCATATACATACATCTTCTTCTGTGATGAATTCTTCTTCTTCACCATCTCTGTATTTCTAAAATTAAATATATGTATTAGATAAAGTCCAGGAATTTCTAGGAACAATCTCTTGGTGTGTATAGAACTCTTAGTGCTTTCAGCATAGCAAATGACAGGCCTATATAAGAATTCATTTTTATGGGAAGTTTCTGTCAATTAATCTTTACTTTCTGTGCTGGGGACTGTTGTTAACCTTTCTGCTTTTGTTTCTTTTCCTTTGGGGAAGGGGGGATAGTTTGCCATCGTGTTTCTGTCTTAACTTGACTTATGTTATTTTATTTCATATTAATCAATGTTTTAGAGAAACTTCTTATGCATCATAAAAACTATCAAACTGACCAGATCCAATTTAAATAATTACATAATTAAAGACAGTAATATATATTTTACTTTGTAAATAAAATCAAAGAAGCTGTCCTCTTCTTCCTCCTCCCGAGTAAACCTTTGAGACTTTGGTTTTTTCCTGGACTGAAATCCTTAAAAAATAATAAATTATATATTCATGGCATCTAAAAGTTTGCTAAAACGAACATTTGCATTTAACTCAATTGGCATATATTTAAAAATAATCACATCATATTGAACATTTGTACTGTTTTTAATTAATGTGACCACACAGTCATTGTTAACTATCTTATACCAAAACTTGATCATCACACAGGATGGAGGAACATTAAAATGAACATGGGGGGTGTACAAACTGGAAGATATAATACCCTCTAGGATTGTAGGCCATGTATAAAAATAATAATATCATTGTTTTAACTAATCTCCCTCTAGAAAGAAAACTTTCTCAAACAAGAGGCTCTCAAGAGCCTGAATCGCTCACCTGTATTTCAGAGGAGAAGATTTTTAAATGTTAGCAAACTTGATGAACAAATTGTGTAAAATTGTCTTTAAAGGGCAATAACTCCTTAAGGGGTCAATTGACAATTTTGGTCATATCAAACTTTTTTGTAGATCTTACTTTGCTGAACATTATTGCTGCTTACAGTTTATATATATCTATAATAATATTCAAAATAATAACAAAAAACTGCAAAATTTTGTTAAAACAGTTAAACTACCAATTCGGTGGCAGCAACCCAACAATGGGTTGTTCGATTCGTCTGAAAATTTCAGGGCCGATAGATCTTGACCAAATAAACAATTTTACCTTATGTCAGATTTGCTCTAAAATCTTTAGTTTTTGAGATATAAGCCAAAAACTGCATTTGACCCCTATGTTCTATTTTTAGCCATGGCGGCCATGTTTGTAGATGGATCAAAACTTCGGATACAATTTATAAACTAGATACCCTAAGGAACATTTAGTTAAAGTTTGAAGGTATTTGGCCCAGTAGTTTCAGAGAAGATTTTTGAAATAGTTTACGACGACAGACGACGACAAGTGATGGCATAAGCTCACATGGGGCCCTTTGGGCCCCTGTGAGCTTAAAAGGAGATCTCCCACTTTGGAATTTTGAAATGTTGACACCTATTAAAATCAATGCAGTACTCAAAACCTTTTCATTTTTCTGTTTGCTTATAATATATACATCTATCTACTTGCTCCATCATTTTATCCTCCCTTTTTGCCAAAGTAATACTTTCTATAGATATAAGAAGATGTGGTATGAGTGCCAATGAGACAACTCTCCATCCAAGTCAAAATTTACAAAAGTAAACCATCACAAGTCAAAGTACAGTCTTCAACACGGAGCCTTGGCTCACATCGAACAGTAAGCTATAAAGGGCCCCAAAAATTACTAGTGTAAAACCATTCAAACGGGAAAACCAACGGTCTAATCTATATAAAAAACGAGAAACGAGAAACACTTATGAACCACATCAACAAACGACAACTACTGAACATCAGATTCCTGACTTAGGACAGGTGAAATCAAATGCAGAGGGTTTAAATGTTTTAATGGTACCAAACCTTCACCCTTTTTCTGAAACAATAGTGTAACATCACAACATAGAAAGACACACTATTATATATGAAAATATTCAAAATAACATGCACATTAGTATCTAAAACAATATACAGATTTTATAGATATGATAGTAACATGTTGAATTGTATTGTAATTAGTTGTCATCAGTTGTTATATCTTTTTGCTTTATTAAACAACATAGTGTATGTATACAAAATACAATAAAAGGCATTGTGGCAAACAATCTGTAACTTCAAATGATCTTAAAAGATCATCCTGAAAATGACTGAAATATTTGCCACTGAATATTAAGCAAATCTGACATTGAATAGAAAAATGAAGCATATATATGTTATGAATACTTACAATATCACTGAATATGGTTGTTATACAAATTTATTTGTTCAGAAATTTTTAATGAACATTATAACTGTTTACTTAATCCCCATCTTCAGATGTTCATAAAGATCACCCAGAATATGCCTGAAATATTTGCCTCTGAACATAAAGCAAACAACTATCAATCTATCTTTAAGAGGTCAGATTTCACAAGATATGCTTTAATGTATTATATGATCATTTACTATATTTTGATTCCAGAACTTTTAAAATAAATAGATTCTATCAAGGTTTTTGAGTATTATTAGTTACATAGTGTGCTAGTGACCTAATACGATATATATGGGGTCAGTAAATTCCATATGGGGTGAGAGCGTGTAACACATTTATCTTACCGACTATCTTAACATGTGGTATTTAGACTAGTGGCCTATCAAAGTAATCAAGTCTTCAATACTTAGTATTAATAACCTACTTCAATTGGTATATACAAAAACATATGCCAACAATAACAACTTGTTAACTTTTAATGTGTTTTATGAATTTATTTCAGTCGTTCATCATCATTACTTCATCTGTTGAAACCTTTCAGATTTTTCCTCAACACCGTGTTGTTTTTATAAAGGGACGTTACACCACTACTAACCGTGAATTGAAATAAGCCCCGCCTACTAACCCCATATGAAATATACACGGTCACAACGCGGTTGCTTTTAACCAATCATATTCCTAGAAATGTATAGGAGGTATGATAATTGAACATATCTCTCTCTCTGATTTATCAGTGTGGCACATATTTCCTTTTTTTTGCATTATTTTTCATGACATGTTTTTTCCATTAGTTCTCAATATTTCTGTAAGAGTTCATTCAGTATAGTAACAGATGTCACTTTTAATACAGAACTATTTATAGTTAGAAGCTTCAAGAAGTGTATGTTTTATCTGTTTTCCATTCATATAACTCTGTGAAGTAATAGATGTCACTATAAATAGAAAACTATAGCTAGTGGCTCTAAGAATTTTGCAGTTCTCATCTTCCTTTAATACATAAAAGTAACAGATGTCCCTATAAATACACAAGAGTGCACACGCTGAAATGTCTCCCCTTCTTTACTAACCATTGATGTTATGTTGATAGTCCTAAATGAAAGCTTTACTACAACTATTACATAAACTTAACATGATCCAAGAAAATGAAGTCAAGGTCATATAAACCAAACGAGAAATACACGTACACCTTACAATCATTCAATACACTAAATATAGTTGACCTATTGCTTATAGTTTCTAAGAAACAGACTTAACCATGACAAGAGTGCACACTCTGAAATGTCTCGCCTTCTTTACTAATCATTGATATTATGTTGATAGTCCTAAATATAAAGCTTTATTACAACTGTCACATAAACTTAACATTAACCAAGTAAACTAAACATTGACCAATGAACCATGAAAATGAGGTCAAGGTCAGATGAACCATGCTAGGCAGGCATGTACAGCTAACAATTCTTCCATACAACAAATATAGTTGACCTATTGCTTATAGTTTAAGAAAAACAGACGAAAACACAAAAACTTAACACTGAGCAATGAACCTTGAAAATGAGGTCAAGGTCAAATAAAACCTGCGTGACTGACATATAGATCATAAAATATTTCCATACACCAAATATAGTTGAACTATTGCATATAGTATTAGAAAGAAAGACCAAAACTCAAAAACTTAACTTTGACCACTGAACCATGAAAATGAGGTCAAAGTCAGATGACACCTGCCAGTTGGACATGTACACCTTACAATCATTCCATACACCAAATATAAAAGACCTATTGCATAAAGTATAAGAAAAATGGACCAAAACACAAAAACTAAACTATAACCACTGAACCATGAAAATGATGTCATGGTCAGGTGACACCTTCCAGCTAGACATGTACACCTTACAATCATTCCATACACCAAATATAGTAGACCTATTGCATACAGTATAAGAAAAACAGACCAAAACACAAAAACTTAACTATAACCACTGAACCATGAAAATGAGGTCAAGGTCAGATGACACCTGCCAGTTGGACATGTACACCTTACAGTCCTTCCATACACCGAATATACTAGACCTATTGCTTATAGTATGTGAGATATGGACTTGACCACCAAAACTTAACCTTGTTCACTGATCCATGAAATGAGGTCGAGGTCAAGTGAAAACTGTCTGACAGGCATGAGGACCTTGCAAGGTACGCACATACCAAATATAGTTATCCTATTACTTATAATAAGAGAGAATTTAACATTACAAAAAATCTAAACTTTTTTTTCAAGTAGTCACTGAACCATGAAAATGAGGTCAAGGACATTGGACATGTGACTGACGGAAACTTCGTAACATGAGGCATCCATATACAAAGTATGAAGCATCCAGGTCTTCCATCTTCTAAAATATAAAGCTTTTAAGAAGTTAGCTAACGCCGCCGCCGCCGGATCGCTATCCCTATGTCGAGCTTTCTGCGACAAAAGTCGCAGGCTCGACAAAAACTAAACATTGACCAATGAATCGTGAAAATGAGGTCAAGGTCAGATGAACCATGCCAGGCAGACATGAACAGCTTACAATCCTTCCATACAACAAATATAGCTGACCTATTGCTTATAGTTTAAGAAAAACAGACTGAAACACATAAACTTAACACTGAGCAATGAACCGTGAAAATGAGGTCAAGGTCAAATAAAACCTGCGAGACTGACATGTACATCATAGAATATTTCCATACACCAAATATAGTTGACTTATTGCATATAGTATAAGAAAAAAGACCAAAACTCAAAAACTTAACTTTGACCACTGAACCATGAAAATGAGGTCAAAGTCAGATGACACCTGCCAGTTGGACATGTACACCTTACAATCATTCCATACGCCAAATATAGAAGACCTATTGCATAAAGTATAAGAAAAATGGACCAAAACACAAAAACTAAACTATAACCACTGAACCATGAAAATGAGGTCATGGTCAGGTGACACCTTCCAGCTAGACATGTACACCTTACAATCATTCCATACACCAAATATAGTAGACCTATTGCATACAGTATAAGAAAAACAGACCAAAACACAAAAACTTAACTATAACCACTGAACCATGAAAATGAGGTCAAGGTCAGATGACACCTGCCAGTTGGACATGTACACCTTACAGTCCTTCCATACACCGAATATACTAGACCTATTGCTTATAGTATGTGAGATATGGACTTGACCACCAAAACTTAACCTTGTTCACTGATCCATGAAATGAGGTCGAGGTCAAGTGAAAACTGTCTGACAGGCATGAGGACCTTGCAAGGTACGCACATACCAAATATAGTTATCCTATTACTTATAATAAGAGAGAATTTAACATTACAAAAAATCTAAACTTTTTTTTCAAGTAGTCACTGAACCATGAAAATGAGGTCAAGGACATTGGACATGTGACTGACGGAAACTTCGTAACATGAGGCATCCATATACAAAGTATGAAGCATCCAGGTCTTCCACCTTCTAAAATATAAAGCTTTTAAGAAGTGAGCTAACGCCGCCGCCGCCGGATCACTATCCCTATGTCGAGCTTTCTGCGACAAAAGTCGCAGGCTCGACAAAAACTAAAGGCTCCAAGGAGCCTGCATTTCTCTCCTTAGACGTCCTCAAAAAAAAAGGGGTTAGTAGGTGAAAATTTTTTTGGGGGGGGGGGGGGGGGTAAAAATCCAGAAAAAAAATTGTATGTTCACAGAGTCCGCTTCCATAATTATACACTCCAATACTGGAAGTTCACCATTTTACATGTTTGGCTTTAAAATAAACACACATGCTGCATTTTGTTTAATTTGTTGCATTCTATAAAGAATGTATTGCATTTTTAGCCTTCATGGGTACTTTTAATGGAAATTCAGATGACAGAAGTCTGTGAATTTAGTTATTTAAATTCACATTCCACAAAATGGGATCGTTTAAAAATCATTTTTCAGAAATGGAAAAAATGTTCTAGGGTCGAGGGGTTTAAACTGGGGTTAATCAGGTAACTGGAACCACACATTTATTTTTATTTGGCCTAACAACAATTTTCATCAACTATTAATGAGTTTCAATGACTGCGAAAGGTAAACATAAGCACTTCTTACAATTAAAAGTACAAGTATTCATATTCCATGAAATTACTTTGCATACAGGGCTTTAGGTAAACTATGCTGTTGTCTGCTCTTTGGTCGGGTTGTTGTCTCTTTGACATATTCCCCATTTCCATTCTCAATTTTAAACAGTTGTTTACTGTGAATTTATGCTGAGTCATCATATGTAAGGCCCAGGATTTTCTCAATCTTCATGAAAATATTTAATAAAACTTTATATTTGGGTTAATTTCATTAAAACCTCTGAAGATAAACCAGACTTGGTAAATTCTACATGTTAATTTTTTTTACCCAATATAAATACAAAACTAGATGCTCCAATAAGTCTGTATCTCTCCCCTTCCTTTTATGTATGACTCTGTTAATAAATCAAAATGTTGGAAAAATCATAAAATATGTATTGCCATGAAGTCTACTAGAAAGGACTTAATGCAAAAAAGTATCTGCAAAATTAAGATGGTTTACAGCATTGTCAATTGATAAATTATTACAAGGTAAAGAATGTGTATAACAAACATAAAAACTATGGTACTTACTTCTTTGAAATACAAATTCCCCAAATACATCAACAAACAACTTTCTGAAGAACCAAGACTGAAAAAAAAGAACAGAAATCCATTCTTAATACAAAATAATTACATGCCCATAAAAGAAAACAAAGGCAAAGAAGCTGAATTTCGATTGGCAATAAAATGATTTGATTAATTCACCAGAATAAGACAGTACATGTCAGTCTTTATCCTTGTCAGGTTCAGGTAAAGTACTTTTGTATAGGAGTATAGAAGTAAAATTCATGTTTTATCGTCTATCATTTTACAATATTAAGTTTTGTAGATTTTTATCACTTTAACTCTTTCAATTTCTATTTAATATGTTATTAAACACCACAATAATATTGTCAGTTATGCTGAAATAATAGTCTTGGATACTGGAAGATTTAGGGGCTTTTAAGGGAATACTTTTCTGTACAACCTTCATGAAGAACAGAAAGTTTGGAAAGGCAATAAAAAGCCCCCAAAAAATACTTGGAGAAATACAAAAGCTAAAACCATTTAAAGATTTCAAATTTCAAATAAATAAATAAGATTTATATAAATTTTCAATCATATTATCCAAGAGTGACACTAGCTGCTGAAACTTAATCCTGAAAAACCCAACTTCATATATGCAATAAATAAAGTATATGTGATGTTTTTGAATAAAAATGTTAACGCAAAACAACATACGGCATAGCTTTCTTCATCGTCATCTTCCAGATCTTCATCAGTAAAATCTTCTTCTTCATCTTCACTTTCATAACAGTACTGACATCCACAACTTTGACAACACCCTACTATCCTGTCAACTAGAAAATAATATCAGTCTGTTACAACTCATGCCATACATGTGTTGACATCTTGCTAATGGTCAATTCTAATTTAATTTTATCAGGAACTGCTTTTATACAGGCTGTAAGAGACCTGCATTGCTTATCTGGCTCCAATTTATTACCATGACTAAAGACGGAAAAATGTTTGACAAGAATATCTATCCATAGAAAAGAAAGAACTTTTCAAACAACTGGTTCCAGGAAGCTCGATAAATTCTAAGACTATTGTCAGTACAAATATGATGTCTTTTTTGTTGTCCTGTTGTTGGTTTTCTGTCAAATTGACATAAACCACATTCTTCCTTTTATTCATATATATCTTATAATAAAAAAAAAAAAAACATACATGTATGTTTTATAAAATCTGTACTTTTGATTGGCTGAAAGCAATTCGAGGCATTCCAATTTCAAACTGTATTTCGCCATAAAACTCAACATTCAAGACAGCACGTTCTTCTCGTGACAACGTCACAACAATGCACATGATGCATAGGAAAACAAACAAAAAATTTGTTATAACTTGTAATTTCATGGTTGAATAGTATAACAATGTAATTATAAGAATTGAATGCTTCTTTTTGTAATTTTATAGGGTTATAAAAGTGTTGATTGTGCACACATTTTTGCAAAAGCACTTTCTACAAAATATACTTATACACCCCAATAAAATTACAAAAGGAAGCTTTCAATTCTTAAGTATTAGTATGCACAAACCTGCATATTTTCTTGTTAGCTGGAAATAGGCTTGACTAAGTCTCTGGAATGTTTCTGTTGCACCAGCATCATCTGGATTCTAGAAAATCAAAAAGAGACGCTCAATCTGACATAAAAAATCAGCTATATACTTTCAAAAGTACTTTATAATGACTTATTATCAATAGGCAGGACTTAAAAATGATTAAATCTACACTGAATTAGCCCAGTTTTCAAATTAAATATAGTTAAGTTATATTAACTTTTCATGCAACCTATTTGAAAAAATTTATTTCATAAGTTTTCATCATGAAGGATAGTGTGATATAAAAATAAGAAGATGTGGTATTGATTGCCAATGAGACAACTCTCCACAAGATAGTTAATATTTTCAAATGAAACAGCAAAGGAAACAAATGATTGAAATTACATTGAACACTGAACAACACTGTTTCAATGGGAAATAAAAGAAAGGGTTCCAATGGCAATGTCCCCTGTGTAGCACATATTTTATCTGTCCATAGGCAATAACTACAAAAAAGAAACTTTTTGGTTCTTCAAAAAGTTTTATAAATATCTTAGTGAAATGAAGGCTTGAGAGTGCTTAATTCAATGCAGTTTTCCATAAAATTAATATTTCTAAGGTGCATAACTCTTTTAAAAATAATCATTGGCACTGATTTTCTAACTTGTCCTTGACATTTCTGAATATACCTTTGATATAAAATCTGTCAAGAAATGTCCACTTGAGAGTACTTACAATGCAATTTTCCATATACTTTTATATTTCCAAAGGGCTTAACTCTTTTAAATATAGTTGATTGGCACTGATTTTTAACTTGTCAGAGACATTGCTATAATAAACCTTTGATATAAATATGACAAAATCTGCTGAGAATTGTACATATGAAAGAGGGCTTACAATGAAATTTTTTATTTAATCTATATTTCCAAGGAGCACTCATTTAAAAAAGGTTGATTGGCACTGATTTTCGAATTTGTCAGCGACATTGCTGATATAAACATTTGATAAAAATCAAGCGAAAATTGTACATGTCAGAGCGCTTACAAGACCTGACAGACGGACACACAGACTGAACCTTAATGTTGACAAAATCAAGGATCACTTGTCTTACTGTCATGACTTTCATGGTAAGTGAGACAATGATATCTTTAATTTAGTTTATCAAAAGTTCATAATAAATATCATACCTTCTTGATACAAGAAAGTGAATAAAAAAGCTTGGGAGCTCTGAGGGAAAAGACAGCAACTGTTTCTATTTTTTGGGGTATCAATATTTAGAGAGAGAAAAATGCAAGATCAGTTAAGCTAGCCACTGTGAAATATTTTTAATTTCAATATGGTGGAGGTCAGATTATTAAAAGTCTTTGTGAAGGCAACTTTATTTATACTCAAAAATAACTAACTTAATAAAATGCAACTAAAAGCATGAAAAGGACAACAAGAGTGCACATGCTGAAATGTCTCGCCTGCTTTACTTGATTAAATTAAATTTCATACCATACACCAAATAAAGTTGGCCTTTTGCAGATTCTCAGATACTGTAAGCCAAAGGGAGAAACAGACCTGATTGCCAAAACTGAACATTGACTATATTAATGAACCATGAAAATGAGGTCAAGGTCTGATGACCTTACCAGACAGACATGTACACCTTACAATCATTGCTTACAACAAATATAGTTGACCAATGGCTTACAGTATTTGATAAATGGACAAAACCATGAAAACTTGCCAGACAGACATGTCTACCTAACAATCATTCCATGATATATACCAAATATAGTGTCCCTATGGCTCATAGTATCATAGACATGATAGATAGAACCCAAACAGGAAAAACTTAAAACATTGTCCAATGAATCAAAAAAAAAGGTTAAGGTCAGATTAAACCAGTCAGACGGACTTTACATTCATTCCATACACCAAATACAGCTAATCTGTTGCTTATAGTACATGTATCTGAGAAACAGAACAAACCACAAAAACTTAACATTGACAAATGAACCATGAAAATTAGGTCAAGTTCAGATGAAACCTGTCAGTCGAACATGTACATCTTTCAGTCATTCCACACACCAAATATAGTTGACCTATTGCTTATAGTATAGGAGATACAGACTTGACCACAAAAACTTAACATTGATCACTGATCCATGAAATGAGGTTGAGGTCAGGTGAACCCTGTCTGATGGATATATGTAGACCTTGCAAGCATCCAATATACCAAACATAGCTATATATAGTTACCCTATAACTCATAATAGGGGAATATTTCACAGTGACAAAACAACTAAAACAAGTATTCTGAGAGTATTGCATAGCAATACATAGTCCCCTACCAGTTAAAAATTCATTGCACTGGAACAACTAACTTAATCTATAAGTTGTCCTGGTGTTAACATGGTTAAACTATACTAGAGGCTCTCAAGAAAAAAATTTACTATAAAGGGCAATAACTCCTTAAGGGGTTAATTGACCATTTTGATCATATTGACTTATTTGTAGATCATACTTTGCTGAACATTATTGCTTTTTAAGTTTATCTCTATCTTTAATAATATTTAAGATAATAACCAAAAACAGCAAAATTTCCTTCAAATTACCAATTCATTGACAGCAACCTAACAACGGGTTGTCTGATTTGTCTGAAAATTTCAGGGCAGATAGATCTAAACCTGATGAACATTTTTACCCATGTCAGATTTGCTCTAAATGCTTTAGTTTCAGAGATATAAGCCAAACAACTGCATTTTACCCATATGTTCTATTTTAAGCCATGTTGCCCATGTTGGTTGGCAGGCATGGTCATCACCTTGAAGGAAAATAAATTCAAGACCCCCTTCCAGAAGCAATGAATATTTCAACACCCCTCCAGGCTCCCTACAAATTTCTCAATACTTTAATACTGCCTGTTTCTGTATTGACCTGGTTATACCGTATAGCGGGTTATTTTGGCGGGGTGTTTATTTTCGCTTATTTTGGCGGATCAATGAAAATCGCGAAATTAAATTCCGCGCAAAATTTAGGGATACCTTCAGTACTTTCTAATAGTTAAAGCGTTTTGCAAACGATCTTATTTTGTCCGGTCAGCAGATCAATAACGGTATAGGTTAGTTTTAACAACATAAATGCGAAAGGGCATTGTACATACATGTATTTTAGAAAATGGTTATCAGGAGTGTATGCCCTTATTAATTAGTGTCAAATAAAGTAAGTGTAAGGTACTCTAGCAGGTAATTATCCTTATTAATTAGTGTCAAATTATATACATGATATATGAGTTGTAAGTCACTCTTGATAATTTTACAATCTAATTAGTAGGTACATCAAAGGTCCCTTCAATTTCGTACCTAATCAACCGTACAATTTACAAGAAGTTTGTATACCTGTGACAAATATCTAAGTAACTGGTTTTCTATTGATTAGCTGTATCTGAATATCATCAGTCATTCAGGTAAAAAGAATCATTTAACCATTTAACAATAGACACTTGTATGTCAATTTTTACATCTTTTTTAACTGCAAAAATTTCAGTACCCGCCAAAATATTTAGTTGGGATTTAAGAATCCACCAAAATAAAAACCGCCAAAATTTTTCGTATACTTTGTTGCCCCTTTTTACACCCGCGAAAATAACCCGCTATACGGTATTAGCTTACTGGCCCCTTGACTAAGCAGGGGCTGATCCAGGATTTTAAGTTCGGGGGGGGGGGGGGGGGGGGGGGGGGGGGGGGGCGCAAACTTAAATTTTTTTAAGGTAAAACTATAGAAAAATTCTTTATTAAGCTGAGGACAACCCATGCTTTGCAAATTTTAGAGGGACACACGCATGCCACACCCCCGCCTGAATCCGCCCCTGCTAAAGGGTTGAAGGCCAATACATATTGTTTTGGTAATTATATTGATGAGATTTCTGATTTCCAGTCCAGGTACTAAATCTATGCTAATGCAATTCTATTTATCTAGCAAACATAAAGTACTTGGGAAGAATATTCAGACATTAAAGTTCTACTCGGAAAGGTTGTGGAATGTTTCCACAAATCGTAACAAAAACTGATCATAATTAAATTTTCTTGTCATTAAAATTGTAAAATGTGTCATCCAATTTCTTTTAGATACGTCTATTCCAGGTTAAGGTTAAGTCCAACATAATTTGGAAGCGAAAACTTGCCACCAGAAGTGAAGAGTCTGTATTGCTTTTCGGCCTTTTTCCTGTATCGGACTGGGATGAAAAGCAAAATTTACTCATGATTTATGTCAACAGGGCAACGACTACAGTATTACACACGCTGATTTTTAACCGCAATAGGACTGATTTGCTCACATGGCTCATATCATTTAATAAATATCAATAATACACAAGGAACAAAGTTGCATACTATATAAATAACACATAGCTGAGAGGGTGATAGAGCAGATTGTTACCCCGAGAAAACATTGTCAACAAGGGCGAAGCCATGGTTGACAATATCTTTTCGAGGGGTAACAAACTGCTCTATTACCCTCTTAGATATGTGTTATTTAATTTATTATACTGAATGTTCTGTTATTACTGTCTATTAAATTTCAAATTCAAAGTAATAAACTATGTCGGCTTGTACATAACAATCATCCGTATTTATTAAAGCGCACACTTGAGCAAGCGTCTCCATGAAGGGTAATAGGGTATTTGCCATGGGATAGAGTAAATTGTCTCCCTCGTATTAACCAATCAAAATCTGGAATTTTGACATGAAGTATAATAAATATAAATATTCAATGAGGTACGAAATGGTAAGGGTACAAAATGACTATAATCATGACAAGAAAACAACGCCACCTATATCAGTCAAGGGTGTAACTTGAATAAGTTATTAGAGAAAAATAACATACATGTGTTATTACGGATACTTTCTCTTAATCTGTAGTAACATACATTGTATGTTTGTTATCAGTTAAATGTACCATAAAAATTTTTATTTTCAGTGGGCACTTGGGAATTCTTGAAACTTGCGCAGTAACTTAATTCATAACCTTGAAAACTAATTTTCCAATCCATTAATACATTTTTGATCAACCATGGTAAATCAAT